GGCCAAAGACACCAACCCCTGAGAGAACCCCAACTTGTAATACAACTGGTTTCAGCCATTCCACATGGCAACTGTAACTAGGGCCTGCAGCCCAAAGCACTCAAACAGCAGCAGATATGGGAAGGGAGGCTGTGGGGAGACAGGCAGTACTGCGAGTTACAAAAGGCCACACATATACGTCAGTCCTGCATGACTCCAGATCTTCTGTGAATGTCTTCAAAATGTTCAAACTTTAGACCTTCCTATCTTATACTTTAAGAGCCTCAACTTTCAAAACCTGGAAGACATGGTTAATTGGGAGTTTCTATTACCTGCCAGGATTTTGAGATAGAAATTTCACTTCCTCATACTGAAGCCTCAAAAATGAATACTGGACCCACTGGTGGGAAGGAATAGTCAGTTTTTAGTTATTTTCTTCAGTGGAACAGTGACACCAATAGAGGTTGGGGAAATGTGACTACTTGGTACTCAAGATCCAATGAAAGCGAGCAGGAGGCAGTACAGGAACAAGGTACAGTGAATCAGAACAGCACAGCAGGAACCCTCAATGGATATAAGAAATGGACCAAACACTAAATAAAGCATAGTGTTTCCCCAAGCTCCAGCATTTGCCTTCTGCCTCTACAGCTTTGCCATTTGCCAGTATCATCTGTACTATAACTTAATAGTTCTCTTTTCAAAAAACTTACCCTCACCCTAAGGGATAAAGAGCTAGTTATAGTTTTCGCTAATACACATTAGAGTAAGACATGTGTTAATGTAACAATGTTTTCCACATTCCATTTGGAATCATCTGACATCACAGAGGTCCGGTGTCACACTGATACAGGTTGATTGCTAAGAGACCTGGTTATGAAGTTTGGTCCTGATTCCAGCCTTATATCTAGGAAGCCACTGCTTTCCCATCTTACAGGAGAACTAGATGAGCCCCACAGCTGCCCTGCCTAGCTCTGAGAGTCAAGGCTGACAGATTTCTATGTGGCTCTGGCAAAAGTAGCCACCAAGGTGACTTGTTAGCAGGATCCTAGAAATTCCCCAGTTTCTGCTCTTTTGGGGGTAGCTACAGGTGGGGAAAGGGGTAATGCATTTGGAAGCAAAGGAAGTTGGGTAGAAGACAGCCTAGTATAGAAGGAAGAACACGAGATTTGAACCCAAAAAATATGGCATCTCCATTTAGCAGTCAAGTTTAAGGTTTTTTTTCATTTGTAAAGTGAAGATAACCATGCCCCTTTTCCTTAAATTTATACATTTGCTCCTAATTTTCAATCAACCGGAGCTTACAAAAATTCACACACTGATATTCCTAGACTACTCTTGCAAAACCCATCTAAACTTCACACAACTAGTCTATGGATAATTGGGCCCTTCTCACTCATTACTAGTTCCATTTTTGGCAATTTTGCAAGTGGAGGCATATTTGTTAAAATGTATTGCATTACCCGCCTTTTTTAGTGATAATTTTTTCTAACTGACACAAAGGACAAACACCAGCAAAACTAGCAGTTCTTAAAGCCTTAGGTGGACTTAAAGCTGGTCAAATGTGTGCTCATAAAAGACTGGCGGCAGCCTACAGAAAAATACAAGTAGATACATCTGGATAACAGCACATAAATCAGAAGGCCAAAAACATAAGGTCTGTGCATTTTATTGTGTGTAAACCATATCTAAAACATACCTCAATTTCAATATAGCAAAAATAAACCAGAAAAGCAGGGGGAAGGGAGAACAAATGCAGGGGACAGGTTCTCAAATTATGAAGTTGAATCGAGCTTCCTGCCAGCCAAAGCTAAAAGGATCTACTAACAGATTCTTGCTGCAGAGCCCTATGTGTGAAAACAATTTCTCCTTAGGGCCTTCAAAGAGGGACAGTATCCTTGAGGACAGAGTGGCAGTGTGTATATTAGCATCTTTCCTAAGACCATCCCCAATCTCATATGTCAATGTTAGCCTGACTGGACGTTTCTGCAGCAGGAGTGGGGTGGGCAGGCAATGTTGATCAAATGAGCAGTTGGAGAAGCAAATGAGATGGAAAAGAGCTCAGTGGATCGAATCAACTGGGTGCATGAGAACTGGAGAGGCCTGGATACTGAGCCTTAGGCAAGGGGTTCGGAATTGACTTCCTAGTGTGACTAATCTAGCTAAACCAAAAGGGACTCTGGCATCAGCCCCATCCCAATCCAATTCATAAACAACTGGCTTTGCTAGAGGGAGTATTAACTGCAAAATAACAGCCAAGAGCATTCCTGGGCACGTCCACTGAGCCCCGTGTAGCAGAGGCCATGAACTAGACCATTTTCTCCATCTTCGAGTCACAGGATCCCTGAGTTTTAACTGGGCACATGACTACTCAAATAAGAGGCTCTATGTCCTGCTGTCCCTTTCCACAAACAGTGGCCATAGTGGTTTAAGCAACTCCAGGTCATTCGTATCCTTAATAAAAGAAACTGCTTTGTTCTCTCTTTCCCCAGTGGAATGAGGACACAGAGCTGATGAGTCTGCTTTGACCTTGCAGACAAGGACAACAAGCTAGTGGTGGCTGAACAGGAGATTTAAAAAACCCAAGTTCCTGATGACCTTGTAGAGTTAAAGCTGCCCTGGACCATCTGACCACCATTGTTCTATTAAAAGAGAACTTACACTTCTACTAGGCTCTCTTTGTTACATAGGACTCGGGCAAGTCCCTAGAAAAGTCAACTCTCAATTCACGTCAGCAAACAGGTCAGAAAATGACATCCATAAACTAAGCTGGCCTCCTACTCCTCTAGGTGAAGGACATCCCTGAGCAGAGCAAGAGTCCTTTATTGCAGCACAGCCCAAACACAAAATGAGCCTGCCCACTGGCCTAGGCCAAATCCACAATAACTGGAGATTCAGACGACTTTTCCCACCAAGGCCAGGCAGGGACGCCCCTGTCCTACCTCTGCCCCTGCAGCAAGAGAGCTCCAAGCTTCTCCACTCTTCATAATTACCGATCTGGAGGACAGGCCAAGTCCAGTAAGGCAGGGAGTGAAACAGCTGTCAGGGGACTGTGTGTGAGGGTCAGGGAAGGGGGGAGCCCCAGAACACAAGCCACAGCTGGGAACTGGAGGAGAGAAGCCTGGGTTTCTGAGACCCAGGGCCCTGAGGGTGTGGCACCTGCTCCTCCTGTGGAGTCCCTTAGTGACGGAGCTCAACCATGCAGCTGCCAGTCACTAACGAATCCCAGCCACCGGCACCTGCTGCTGCTTGCGAATCTTGTTGAAGAGTTCCATGTACTGGACCATGGTATCTGCGGGGCCGTAGACTGTGTCGTGTCTGTTGCCAAACACTGCGGGAGCCCCTGGCGTGTGGCTGCCTAGAAAACTCTGTAGGAATTCGAGCAGAAGGCTCCAGCAGTCACTAGCTACCACACACGGGCCATATTCCACCTGGGACCAAAGGAACAGAGAATGAGGTGAGTGCAGGCAAGGATGAGGACTTCTGTTCCCCTTTCACCTTCTACCCTTGCTCCCATCTTCCCCAACCCCAAGCCAAAGACACACACCGGCTAGCACAGCGTTGCTGCACAGGAAATATTCAACCCGAGCAAGGTATCTGGTTCCATGTGCAAAACCCAGGGTCCCTAACTCATACTCATATAGGGGATCAATAGAGTGCAGAGTGGACACATATGTTCACAAGTCTCTGCAAGACCAAACATTACTCCCAGGTACACCCAGCCTGGGCTCCAACCCTAAGAAATAATTTTCTGATCAATGTAGCAGGGGCCACAGGACACACATCTTTAGCTTTCTCACCGGGGAAATTACTGGAAACCAAAAGGAGAAACAGCACAGAAACAGCGGGGTTACGTTTGTACTACAAAGCTGGAAATGTGGAGGATAAACACTGGGTTCCCGCGGGTCTCCACAAATGCAAGGTGTGTCTCAAGCTGAAAAGGGCCAGGAAAGCTTGGCCCTCAAGTACCCTGGAGTTTTAGAGCAGTAACACACTAATGCCCCGTTCTCTGCTGGGGCCACCTTTTAGGACTTGGCCATCCCCATGTCTCTTCATTTGAGTCCCTCCTTAAATGCTGGTCCTGTAGGAAGCTCACATCCAAGTCACATGCTCTCACTGGCACAGAGTCCCCAAGCAATCTGTAGCATTTCTCATAGACTGACTTCCAAAATGGTCTGTGTTCCGGCCCTGCTTTTGTAAAAAGCAGGCCCCGCAGCTTATGTATTTTTTTTTAATATATATTTTATTGATTTTTGTACAGAATGGAAGGGAGAGAGAGAGAGAGTTTGAAACATCAATGAGAGAGAGTCATTGATCAGTTGCCTCTTGCACACCCCCTTCTGGGGATATTTCGCAACCAAGGTACATGCCCTTGATCGGAATCGAACCCGGGGCCCTTCAGTCCCCAAGCCGACGCTCTATCCATTGAGCCAAACCGGTCCCGGCTATGTTTTTTTTTTTTAATCTCACACAGTGCTGGGCAGATTGTGGATTACCACTGGTCCTAAAGCCAGCTGCCTGTCACACTCCCTCTGTCATTTTCAGTCTATCCCGCAACGATGAAATCATCACACGTACCCCTTTCCACCAGAAAAGTGGATAGCATGGCAAAAGGAAAGGCACATCTTTGCTACACAACTTTTGAGACCCATCTTAAAGCATACTAAGGAGAGATGTGTGGACCCACCTCCCAAAAGTTAACTGCACCGAAAGTTGACCTGGTCTGCTCCAATCCTTTTGTGAAGAATGACTGGTCCCTCACAAAATTTGCCTGCCTCCCTTGGTTATTCCTTCCCTTCTCCAGCAAGCCAGCCTTTCTAAGCTTTCTACCTTCTGTGAACCCAGCTTCCAATTTCCATCCTGGTCTAGAGTCTCCAATGACAATGGACAGGGGAAAAGGTGCAGGTGCAGGAGTCAGGTCGGCATAAACACCGGTTTGCACTCAGAGGGACGTGGAAATCTGCAGGGCCCTCTGCTGAGCAGCTCCTTCAGCACATCCCACTCCTAATCCACCAAGGTCTTACCTCCACAGAGATGCCTCGGGCACTGGGCCCCATTGTGACCGTGCCCACCTTCACTAGGAAGTCACAGTACTGGTAGCGGGTGCCCCGGGTCTCGATCTTGCTGGCCTTGGCGCTCTGGAAGAAGCCCTTGAGCTTCACCATGAGCACGTCGAAGTTGGTGTCGGCGATAAGGCAAGGGCCGTTCTCAAAGAGGGCAAAGCAGCTTAAAGGGTGTTCCGAATTGTGCATCACATACATCAGCTTCCCGGTCTGACCTGCAGGGACAGAGATCCTGCTCAGCACCGAGACCTCGTCAGCAAACCCCAGACTAGAGGCAAATCAGGAACAAGGCCGGATGGCAGCCCGTTCTGAAGAATAGCATGTGACCAAATGTACCCGCTCTACAGACAAAGGTGAGGGGCACACAGGGAACTCGCCGGCGTTAATAGCAGTTGAATTTTTAAGGTGAGAGACAGGGTCACAGATAGATAATGATGATGATGATTTACTCTCAGACTTTACATAGTCTTATACAATCACTAGAAGCCCAATGCACAAAGATTCGTGCTAGATGGGCCGTCCTTTTCCTGGTGGGCTGTCCTTTTCCTGGGTGCCAGCACCGCCTTTCTGCTCCGGCCCAGGCCCTTTCGGCTCAGGGTCTAGAGCGCCCTCTTTGCACTCCAGCCCCGCCTTCCCCTCTGCCCAGAGGCCCTGAGAAGACTGGGTGGGGCAGAATGCCTGTGTCATCACTATGACAACGGCACAAGTGTCCTGCCCGCTCCCTCACTTAATGACTGTTATGTAAATTTTAACTACCATCTTTGTTGGGTTAATTTGCATATAATTCCTGATTGGCTGGTGGCATAGCAGAAGTACGGTCAATTTACATGTTTATCTATTATTAGGTAAGACTAGAGGCCTGGTGTATGGGTGGGGTCCAGCCCGCCCGCCTTAATGGGCCCAGCGGGCTCGGGGGGAGGAAACAAGGGACATTGGCAGGTCAACCTTGCCAATTGGGGTGGGGGAGTGATCAGGGGCAGGGTCGGCAGGGGAAGGAGCTATGGGCGGTTGGCAGGCAGCCCCGCCACCTGGTTGAACTTTCAGTGGAAGGGACGATTTGCATATTAACCTTTTATTATATAGGACAGGTCACATAACAAGGAAGATGAAATAACAGCATTTCAATATGCCAAATGAAGCAGATGCTCTCTTCTGTCCACTCCTACCTTCCTTGGCCTCTCCCTCTTTGATATATAAGTGGCCCCAGAGACACAGCAAAGGGGAGTATCTGAGCATGAGGCTAAGAAGATAGACCAGAGCCAAGCAGTGCTACATCTTGTCTTCCATGCTCATGAAGCCTGGACTCCATTCTAAAGGCAATGGTGAAGACTTGGACAATTTTAAGCCATCAGCCGACTTGGGAAGCTAGCATGCACGACAGCAGAAAGAACTCAGCATCTGGAATCCAAAGGTCTAGTTTTCTCATTGATTACTACAGATTTTCTGCAAGAAGGAAGCGAAGTTACATATATATTTATATATACTAGAGGCCCGGTGTGTGAAATTCATGCACCAGTGGTGTCCCTCGGCCTGGCCTGTGGAATCAGGCTGAAACTGGCTCTCCGACATGCCCCGAGGAATCCTGGATTGCAAAAGGGTGCAGGCCAGACTGAGGGACCCCACCAGCACACTATTGGGGTTAGGGAGGGGAGCAGGAGGTTGACCAGCTGGAATGGACCACAGGAGGGCTCCAGGGCATGTCCAGCCTGTCTTGCTCAGTCTGATTGGCCAGATCCCAGGAGCAAGCTAACCTACCAGAGTGTCTGCCCCCTGGTTGTCAGTGCATGTCATAGCGGTGTGTGTGTGTGTATGTGTATATGTATATGTGTGTGTGTGTATGTGTGTGTGGCACGCGCACATGCGCGCATGTGTATTTGTTAAGTGGAAAATGGAAGAAGGCAAATGGAAAGAAGGCAAATGGAAAGTACAAGAGTTAATGGATAAACTGCCACAATCTCAAATACTTATATTTATTAAGTACTTAAATTATTCCCAACATTGCCCTAAGGTTTAAGAAGCATACATGTAGAGGACTTAGCCTCAGCCTCAAGAAGCTAATAATCTCACTAGGGATAGGTTAAAAACTTTAGGACCGAAGCTAGGATACAAAGAGAGGGCAAGACTCAGTCACATGGAGTGTGCACCAGTGCTGTCCCTCAGCCTGGCCTGTGGAATCGGGGGTGAAACTGACATTCTAGGCAATGATGAAAGAGAGAAGGGGGTGGGGACCTGGCTGCCACTTGCTGAACACAACAGGTTCTGCAAAAACCTCCCTGCACATCCCTTCTGACAACCTGTTGCCAGTTCCCACCTTTCACCTCCCAAATTCACTTCAAACACATTTCAACTCTCAAAAAGACATCCAAAGTTGATCTGTCATTATGTTCTTGTGCAAACTCACTGTAATAACATATTTCATATGAGTCTGCAAGTATTCTTACAGTCTTGAAAATGTTATGAAAGTTAACAAAATGAAAAATGGAAGAAGGCAAATGGATTATGGGTCCCAGACCACCACCACCACCACCACCACCACATGGAAGCTTGTTACAAATGCAAATTATCCATACACCCCAGACCTACTGAGTCAGAAAGTCTGGGAGAGGCCCAGCGACCTGTGTTAACAAGCCCTCCAGGTGATGCTAAACGCTGGTCAGTGTGAGAAATGCAGATCTAAAGGCACAGAGCCAGGAAGCAGCAGAGCTGGAATTCCAATTAGGCTTTCTGACCTCAACTTTATTGCTCTTTCCATTCTACCAACTACCTGTCAAGAATGATTTCTCTCTAACTGGACTGTAGTTCCTTGAAAACAAAGGTCTGATCAGGAGGAAAATAGCCCACACCAGGTAATTTCATAGAAGTAGTGTTTCTGTATATATACAAACCGGAGGCCCAGTACACAAATTTGTGCACCAGTGGGGTCCCTCGGCCGGCCTGCGGGATTGAACTGAAACTGGCTCCCAACATCCCCCGAGGGGTCCCAGATTATGAGAGGGAACAGGCCAAGCCGAGAGACCCCACTAGTACACTATCAGGGCTGAGAGGGATGCAGGGCATGTCTAGCCTGTCTCAGTCCCAATCGGCCAGACCCCAGCAGCAAGCTAATCTACGGGTCGACTGTCTGTCCCCTGGTGGTCAATGCATATCATAGCAACTGGTTGACAAGTTGACTGCCCCCCTGGTAGTCATTCCATGTCATAGTGAGCAGTTGAGCCACCTTGACATATCATTAGCATATTACGCTTTGGTTGATTGAATGGGTGACCGGATGACTGGACACTTAGCATATTAGGCTTTTATTATATAGGATGTTTTCTTTTCCAAATGCTTTCATAACCATTATATCTCTTGATTCTTATGTCCTTCCTACTGAAGGCAAAACAATGGTTAACACTGTAATTTTACAGATGATGAAACTCAGTATAGCTCTTAGCTACCGCTTATTAAAGGTTCATTACAGCTGAAACTGGTTTGGCTCAGTGGATAGAGCGTCGCCCTGCGGACTGAAAGGTCCCAGGTTCCATTCCGGTCAAGGGCATGTACTTTAGTTGTGGGCACATCCCCAGTAGGGGGTGTGTAGGAGGTAGCTGATTGATGATTCTCTGTCATCGATGTTTCTAACTCTCTATCCCTCTCTCTTCCTTTCTGTAAAAAATCAATTAAATATATATATTTTTAAAAAAAGGTTCATTACATGACTACCTCAGTTCCTGTGCTTTGCATGTATTAACTTATTTAATTTAATAAGTACTACACTAAACTTCATTTTAGGGTGCAAAAACAGAACCCTCACCAGACAGTTTCATTGGAGGTGAGGTGGGGAGGGGGAGGATTTAATACAGGAAACAAAATACAGGGGATAGAAAAACTAAAACACCAAATGGAATGATGATGTTATCCAAAAATTAGCAACACAAGCAGCCATTATCATCCCTAAGCCTGGAAGGAAATAGATAGAGATGTGCTGATATTAGAGCCATGAGCAAAGGTTGCCCAGCAGGAGCTAGAATCAAGAACACAGCTAGAGACACTGCCTGAGGGAGAGACAAACTGTGGTCTCCCTTTCTCCTGTCCTCTGATCTTCCCCAATGCCTGTGCAGGAGAAGTCCAGGGAATGATCTATAGGGAAATAGGAAAATTACCAGCATAGAAACGGCCACAGGTTGTGGGACTTACCTAATGTGTGATTAGTATGTGGCAGAGCTAGGATTCTTTTATCTGATTCCATGTCTAGACTCTGAATCACTGTGCTATGGAACTGTCAAAGGGAAAGTTACTGCAGAACCCAGATTCCTCAACTCATATTCAAAGATCCTCTTCGCCTCCTTACCATCACCACCACCACTATCCACAGCCATCTCATCTCTTAATACATTTAATATAAAAGGTGATTCATCAGTCAAGGTTATGCTAACAACGTAGCCAAAGCCACTGTCCAGGTGTGGGAAACAGGAAGCCTTTCTGCAAAAAATTCTAGAAACTCTAAAACTCTATGAGAATCCTATACAAAAACATCTTAGCTTAAAGGAGTCTTTCTCAAACTTAAGAGTGCATAAAGGGAAGCTCATTAAAATGGAGATTATGAGGCCCACAACACCAGTCAGTCCGTAAGCAGAGCCAGGAAATTGCATCTTTAACAAGTAGCCAAGATGATTTTGATGAAGTTAGTAACCAACCCTCTGAGAAGCACTGCTTTAAAAATGCAAAGCGCAAAAAGACTAAAACATGGGCCAGGTCTAAGATGAAGGATCAAGAATTAATGAATTGCCGACACTGGTTTGGCTCAGTGGATAGAGCATCAGCCTGCAGACTGAAGGGTCCCAGGTTCGATTCCGGTAGGGGCAAGTACTCTGGTTACCCACTGGGGATGTGCAGGAGGCAGCTGATCGATGTTTCTCTCTCATCGATGTTTCTAGCTCTCTATCCCTCTCTCTTCCTCTCTGTAAAACATCAATAAAATATATTAAAAAAAAAAAAAAAAAAAAAGAACTAATGAATTAAGCCCTACCTGGTTTGGCTCAGTGGTTAGAGTGTTGGCCTGGTGACTGAAGGGTCCCAGGTTTGATTCCAGTCAAGGGTACATGCCTGGGTAGTAGGCTCGATCCCCAGTAGCAGTGGGGGGAGGGGAGGCTTCAGAAGGCAGCCAATCAATGATTCCCTCTCATCATTAATGTTTCTCTTTCTTTCTCCCTTCCTCTCTGAAATCAATAAAAATATATTTTTAAAAAAATCTACACTAGCCAAAACCAGTCTGGCTAGTGGATAGAACGTCGGCCTGTGGACGGCAGGGTCCCAAGTTCGATTCTGGTCAAGGGAATGTACCTTGGTTGCGGCAGCTGATCAATGTTTCTCTCTCATTGATGTTTCTGGCTCTCAATCCCTCTCCCTTCCTCTCTGTAAAAAAATCAGTAAGATAGATATATATATATATATATATATATATATATATATATATATATATATTTTAAAATCTACACTAATAAAAGAGAAACACACAAATTAACCATCACTCTACTACGCTAAGCCACGCCCACCAGCCAATCAGGAGCAAGTGTGCAAATTTACCCAACCAAGATGGTGGCTGGCCACCTAGCTAGAGCAAGCAGGTTTGGGTTTACTCCAACGATGGAGGAAGCCAAGCTTCCCACCCACCCTGGCTGGCCCTGGCTTCTGCTCAAGGTTACAAAGTTTCAATTACAGAAGATAAATAAATCCCAATAAAAATGGCAGTAGCCACAGAGCTAGAGAGAGCAGAAGGCTTGAGTTGCCCCAGCATTGGAGGAAGCCAAGCTTCCTGCCAGCCCTGGCTGGCCCTGGCCTCCACTCAAGGTTACAAAGTTTCAATTATAAAAAATAAATAAATCCTACATACTTGCTTCCAGCTGACCCTGGCCTCCGCTGAAGGAGGCATTGAAAAAGAAAAAGGAAAAGGAAAAGGAAAAGGAAAAGGAAAAGAAAAAGAAAAATAGGAGAGGCTGGGAACTTGGGTCCCTGGGGGGTGATCAGGCCAAGATGGAACTGCAGGGGCTGTTGGTGGTAAGCAGATCAGCAGGGGGCACAGTTGGGAGTGAGTAGGCCATCAGTGGGGTTCAGTTGGAGGTGATCAGGACAGCGGAGGTGGGGGCACAGTTTGGAGTGAGCAGGCCAGCAGGGGGGCAGTTGGGGGTAATCAGGCTGGCAGGAGGCAAGCAGGTAGGCAGGTGAGCGGCTGGAGCCAGCAGTCCCAGATTGTGAGAGGGATGTCTGACTGAAGGTTTAGGACCGATTCCTGTAAACCAGCAGTAGGACATCCTTCGAGGGGTCCCAGATTGGAGAGGGTGCATGCTGGGCTGAGGAACACCTGTGCACAAATTTCATGCACCGGGCCACTAGTGTGTGTGTGTGTGTGTGTGTGTGTGTGTGTGTGTATTAAAAAAAGAATAAATTTAGAAACACATCTGCCACATGTTCAAGAATATCACTCTTAGAAGATATCAGTAAACATAAATGTCTATCAACTCCAAGCCAGGATGCAGCCATCCCGCAGACGCATCTCACTGACCTTGGCTGCCAAGGGTAGAAGCAGCGGTGTGATAGGTCTCACAGTCTACACAAAATGTTCCTTGCTTCTCTGCCCCAAGCATCTCCAATTTCCGGGTGAGGAGCTCCACGGTCTGCTGGACACTCTTGCCCTCCGCCACAGGCATCTGGGACACACTGGAAGGGAGAGAATCAAATCATCAGTATCCATGAGCACTGGCTGAGCCACTCCATCTCCCACAGAATCACAGCTCACCAGGACCACAGAGACCACCTACTGCAACCCCTTTATTTTAAAGATGCGGAAATAAGAGACCTACCGTCCCTAAAAACACAGATCTCGTGATTCTCTCACAGCAGCGCAGTGAACGTCCTATCACACCAGAATTTCCTAAGCATGGCAGGTGCGCTAACATTCAAGAGAAGATTTTAGGAGACACATAGACAACCCTTGACAACACTGTCGTGTAATGAGTTTCCTTCACAATTATTTCAGTTCTGACTATATAAGGCAGATAACCTTAATGTGAGGTATGTTTATCCCAACTCTTAACACTCCGAATGTGTGTAGCCAGTACAGTAAACCATAAGCCACACGTGGCCATTTACACTTAAATAAGAATGTAATCCAAACAATGAAACAAAAAGATGTTATTTCAAAGACTTCCTTCTATGGTAAGTAAAACTACTTCCCCTTTAGAGTGGTAGTTAACAGTCCCAAGCCCCAACTATATGCCAGACAGTGCCCAAAAGCCTTGAGATAAATAAACTATTTGAATCCTCACAATGGCGTTAGGTGTGCTATTATTTATCTTATAAAACGAGGAAACTGAAATACAGAGTGGTTGACTTGCACAAGGTCACACAGCTTGGTGTGGTGTAGCTAAGACTCAAAATCAGGCAAACTGGCTCCTTATCCGTGTCCTTAACTATTATAGTAGATTACTTCCCTACGGATATAATTAAAATACTTTTAAGAAATAGATTTAACCGAAACCGGTTTGGCTCAGTGGTAGAGCATCGGTCTGCGGACTGAAAGGTCCCAGGTTCGATTCCGGTCAAGGGCATGTACCTTGGTTGCGGGCACATCCCAGGTAGGGGGTGTGCAAGAAGCAGCTGGTCAATGTTTTTCTCTCATCGATGTTTCTAGCTCTCTATCTCTCTCCCTTTCTCTCTGTAAAATATCAATAAAATATATATTTTTTAAAAAGAAATAGATTTAAATGGAAACATTAACAAATACTACCACATGTAGTACTTAGCTATGTAAAAATCAGAAAGATGGCCATTTGTGAGTGAATTCAGGGAGACACTGCATTACTTGATAATCAATCAACCAAATGAAGCTATAAAGGTGGAGTCCTAGTTGTTGTTAAAAATTGTCACCACTCTCCATCAAAAAAGTACTAATAAGGAATGATGAGATGTATCTTATTTTGAAACATAAGAACATTCCTAAAACGATGCGACTGGGGTGAGAAGTGCCAGGAGTCTGAAAAAGTTGATGAGGATCCTCACAGAGAGCCCTTTCCCTCGGTCTGCCTTCTCTACCGAGAGAAGAGGGGCTTCCAGGGCTCCAAGCCTCCGTGCTGCACACTTGCCATTCCCGTCGCCCACATATCCCCCTTACCCTGGGAATCAGAGGAGGCCCGTGATGTCAAATGTAGTAAACACAAACGCAATCACTGACAAACTGGCAAGAGCCTGTGCCAACAGGAGTTTCCACAGGCTCTGACCCGGGAAGCCTAGAGTCAATGACCTCAGATAGCCTGGCCTCCAGTCCTCTCTGATTGGAAATGCTTACTTACTATTGTTAAAAAAAAAAAAAAAAAAAAAAGCCGAAACCGGTTTGGCTCAGTGGTAGAGCATCGGTCTGCGGACTGAAGGGTCCCAGGTTCGATTCTGGTCAAGGGCATGTACATTGGCTGCGGGCACATCCCCGGTAGGGGGTGTGCAAGAGGCAGCTGGTCGATGTTTCTCTCTCATCGACGTTTCTAGCTCTCTATCCCTCTCTCCTCCTCTCTGTAACAAATCAATAAAATATGTTAAAAAAAAAAAAAAAAAGGCTCTGAAATCTAGCATTTTGGAACTAATGACTCCAAGAGCATATCTTTCCCTATCTCCCTGACTTACAGTGAGTTAGAGATTTTAGAAGTTCACAGAAACAACACAAATCATGAATCATGTAGAAAACAGGTCCTGAAGAAGTGATGTGCCTAAAACCCAATAGCCCTCCCTTGACCCCCAAACCGAAGACTTTAAAATGATCAAGCTAGAAATTGACATAGACTGGTCTAACTACATTTAGTGGCTGGAAGGAGAGACAGGTGAAAACCTAAAAAAAAGATACTGTCTCCTCTTTGCCTAGCCCTGCCTGCTGATGAGTTCTAGCCCACACATCCTCTCCCCGACCCTGAGGTTCCAACCCCGGCCTCACCGGCGGGAAGATGTGCCAAAAAAAACGGGAAGGAGGCACCCAACCTCTGATGGGTTCCTGGGATAAAACCCAGGAGGAAAGGGGCGCATCTCCAAGGAGCCAGGCTCGGAGACTCCACAGCCCTCCCTCACGGTATCCCCGCACCCACACAACCCGAAGACACGGTGCTCAACGCCCGAGGGGCGACAGACCCGAGCCCGACCCTCCTCCAGGGTGCACTCCGGGCTCCGAGGGCCCTTCACGACCCCAAGTCCAGCCCCACAGTGTCCCCTGCGGCCCTACCAAGTCACTCCCATGATGTCGGAGCAAGAGGATGGCAGGACCAAACAGCTGAAACGCAGAGCTCTCCGGCCGCGCACAGTTAGCGAAGCCCCGTAACGCAAGCTCCGGTGGAGGGGGTGGAGCGGGGTCGCTCCGGAAATGACGTAAAACAGAGCGGGGGGCTCCGGAAATGACGTAAAAACAGAGCGCCCAGTCGACGCACCACGAGGAACAGGGGCGTGTCTAGGCGCCTCCTCTGTGACACCTTTCTTGGTATCACCGCCCAGCTGCTGCTCCCAGGCTGGCAGCACCCTGGCCTAAATCCTCCAAGGTTGGGGAAAACAACGTTCAATGCACAGAGTTCATCTGGGAGTCTAGCAGCTGCAGCACCCGCGAGTTCTTAGCAGGCGGGGCGGCGCTGATGGCACCGCTGGCCTCCGAGCGGTAGGGGGCGCTGTGCTTCTCGGTGGCCTCTTGGGAACGGGGAGAACCCAGCGCAAACGCACTCAGGGACATCTTCTGCGTCTCCACGTGTGAACTTTCCCGGCAACTTTTTGAGAAGGAAAAAAAAAACAATGCCCAAATTCAAGGCAGCCCGCGGGGCCGGGGGCCAGGAGAAACACGCTCCCCTTGCCGAGCAGATTCTGGCCGGGGACGCGGTGCGCGCCGGGGCCCGGGAGAAGCGGCGCGGGCGCGGGACCAAAGAGGAGGAGGAGGAGTACGTGGGGCCCCGGCTGACCCGGCGGATTTTGCATCAGGCGCGGCAGCAGCAGGAGGAGCTCGAGGCCGAGCATGGCACTGGGAGCCGGCCCGCGGCGCCCCGGGAGCGCACCACGCGGCTGGGTGAGTGGCGGGATGGGTGGGAGAAAGAGGAAGGTTAGGAGAGGATGGACGGGCATCGGACAAGGGAATAGCTTGGGGTAAAAAGGTTCGGTTGTATTCCCTTAAAAAGGTACTGCAATGGGATGCTCAGCCCTGGAGCGGATGTAGGATAGTCAAAGCCCTCTCTTCTAGGTAGCCCTGAAGTTGGGAAACAGGAAGTGATTGCCGGCACCACTGAGTTCTCCTAGTATTTATCTATCCATTTGCCCTGTAAATACTTACGGGATGTCTCCTAGAGCTTGGTACGGTGTTAGAAGTCTAGATCTAGTTTGGATCAAGCGGTAAACGAGGTAGACATGCGCCTGACTTTAGGTTATAGACCGTAGACAATGAGAGAATAGACAGTAGACATTGAGAATAATACATTCCATGGAAAAGTATAATAGATTCTCTGGTAACAACAGCATTGATCTTGGGGATCGGGCTGCCCAGATTGCATGACCTTTGTGCTGAGCAGAAAGAACAATATTGTTTAGGGGCCACAGAGGCAGTGAGGGTGAGTAAAAGATGATCAACATTTTCTTAGGGTGGGAGTGTTGATTCCTGTCCAGCTCTCAGATCTCTTTCCTTGGTCCTGACACAATTGAACATTGGCCTCCTGGCTATGGTTTCTTTACTGGCTTCCAAGACTTCACATGCTACTCCCTACCTCTCTGTAGCCTTTGCTGGCTCCCTTTTGATCCCCAATCTCTCTCTTTTTAAAAAATATATATTTTTATTGATTTCAGAGATGATGGGAGAGGGAGAGATAGAAACTTCAATGATGAGAGAGAATCGTTAATTGGCTGCCTATGCAGGCCCCCTACTGGGGATCCAAGCCCACAACCCAGGCATGTGCCCTGATAGGAATCGAATCCTGACTTCCTGGTTCATAGGTCAACACTCCACCACTGAGCCACACTGGCCAGGTGACCCCCCCCCCCACACACACACACACACACCTCTTATGAAATGTCACAAGGTTCAGTCTTTGGACCTCTTCTCTTCACACACTTCTCTGGTGTTGTCATCAGTTTTGTGGTTATTTGGTGACTGCTATCAACTGTATATTCTAGCCTTCATTTCTTCCATGAAACCTAGATTATTCAGTTGCCTACTTGGCTTATTACAGTAGCATCCTCATTAATATCCCATACCTCCTACAGTCCACTCTCAACTCAACGGCTAGAGAATTACAGTGGTTTGCAAAGCCCTATATGATCGGCTCTCATTGCTAGTCCGAGTTCTACTTTCCCCTTTTCACTCCACCCATATCGGCTTAAACATGGTAAGCTAGGGCCTTTGCCCAGGTTGCTCCTGTCCTCATACACCTGTAGGCACACTCTCTCAATTCTTCACCTTTTCAGGCCTGTTATGCAAAGAGCTGAGATCCGAGGAAGATAACCCAGAAGGCTGGCTGTGAAAGACGTGGGTTTATTAGCACTTACTGCACACGGTGGTGGCCCACTGGAAAGATTTTCCCCAGTATGGGGTTGTGTAGAATACAGAGAACAGGGCATGAAGGAGAGACTGCTCAAGTACAAGCTCTATAAGATCAAAACACTAGTAGTTTACAATCGGGCTTACACCCAAGACCCGTTTCTGTTTGGCTGTTTCTTGACTGAGGAGCTGTCCAGGCTCCTAAGGTTGCTCCTACAGTCCGTTTACAGGTGGCCTTCATCATATTCCCACAGGGGCAGAAGGGGGTTGGAGCTCGGGAAGGGGCCCGATTACCACACACCTTCCCTGACTACTTCATTAAAAATTGCAACACCCCCTCCCTGGCCTGGTGGTTCAGTCGGTTGGAGCATAGCATTGTTCCATATACCAAAAAGTTGCAGGTTTGATTCCTAGTTAGGGCACATTCCTAGGTTGTGGGTTTGATTCTGGTCGGGCTGGGTACTAGAGGCAACTGATTGATGTTTCTCTCCCTTGTTTCTTCTCTCTCTAAAATCAATGGAGGGCATGTCTTCTGGAGAGAATTAAAAGGAAAAAAGAGAGAGAAAATTTCAACACCCCACCCCTATCTTTACAGTCCCAACTTCTCTATTCTGCCCTATCGCTTTATTTCATAGCACTTGTCTTTTAACCTATCATGTTATATTTATTTATTTATCTGTCTTTCCTCATTAGAGTATAAGCTCTATACGGGCAAAAGGTTTTGTTTCTCTCATTCACTAGTATAGAATATATACCAGGCACTCAGTGTTTGCTCAATGAATGGATTAATGAATGATGGTGAGGTGGGTGGGAACCAAATCTGCAAAAGACTTGGAGGCTGAGCCCAGGATTTAAAGCTGTCATAAAGACAGTGAAAACCTGTTGGAGAACATGGAGACCAGTTTAATTAGTCCAGGCAAGAAATGATGCTGATCTAGGCTAGGAGTTGCGAAGGATTTGAAATGTTCTCTGAGGTAGAATTGGATCGGCTTTAGTAATTGCGTGTTGGGGATGAGACAGGCCTGCCTCCCAGGTTCTGGCTTAGCATGGGGTGGACGTTGGTTCTGTGTACTTAGAGGTAGAGCACATGAGCAGTATAGACCTAGGAGGAAAAGAGAGTGAGCTTGGTTGATACAGGTGAAGTTTGAAGTTCTTGTGAAGAGCAACTGTACAGGCGGTAGCTGGAGTTATGGTCTGGAGTGAAGGGACATCTATGTCTCAAGTATAGGTTTGGGGGTTGTTAGCATGTGGAGACAAAACACCTTCGCCACATCACCACCACCACCACCACCATTATTTAGCTTTTATCACATATTTCCTTTTGTTAATAACCTGTTCATATGCAGCAACTCATCTCCCCGATTGGAGTATGGCATTCCTTACCAGATGCCCAATAAGCTGTGGCCTTCCGGGAATCAGTTCTTCAGTGGGTTGGTCCATTGGAATCTGAACTACACTGCCTGGGTTCACTTTACCCATCCAGCCGTGTTTCCTGCTGCTGCTTAACAGACAATCTTGTAACCAAGCCCTTTTGCCGGTGTTGTAACCCGGGTTTGGACCACACTCCAGCTGCACCCATGCTCCCTATCCAGACTCGAACCATTGTCGGCACTCATCACCTTCTAAGTGCCTATGGTATATACTGTCTCTGCCACTCGTTTGGCATATAACCAAGTCCACCCATGTGTGTAGAATATGGGTAAAGAATGCACAGTCTAGCCGAAACCGGTTTGGCTCAGGGGATGGAGCATTGGTCTGCGGACTGAAGGGTCCCACGTTCGATTCCGGTCAAGGGCATGTGCATTGGTTGTGGGCACATCCCCCATGGAGGGTGTGCAGGAGGCAACTGGGTTGATATTTCTCTCTCACTGATGTTTCTAGGTCTCTATCCCTCTCCCTATCTCTCTGTAAAAATCAATAAAATGTATTGTAAAAATTAAAAAAAAAGAATGCACAGTCTAGGCCCAGACTACATGCCATAGGCAAATTACTTAGCTTTTCTTGTGCTTTAGTGTTCCCATCTGAAACTGGATATACTAATAAGACCTACTTCTTGGGGTTGTATTGGGTACAGTGTTTAGAACAGTTCCTGCTACATGACTGAGCATAATGTGTTAACTATGATATATTGGCATCACTGTGTCATTGGTTCCCATAGGTACGTTTCGTTTCTCGAGCAAGATTGTAAGCCCCTGGTACAGGAAGATAGCGTGTGCACACATCTGTATCTATTACAGGCACATGTGAGGCTTACACTGTGCGTGGTGGTTAAAGTTCACTTGACCTCTAAATCCCTCAGCCATCGCTTACCTTTTTCACCCAATCATCGCCCCTCTTCTAGGCCCAGAAGTGCCGCAAGATGGATCAGATGATGAGGATGAAGAGTGGCCCACCCTTGAGAAGGCTGCCACAATGACAGAGGCAGGCCACCAAGCAGAGGTGGCCGTGGACCCCGAGGATGAGCGTGCCATTGAGATGTTCATGAATAAAAACCCTCCTGTCAGGTAGGGCTGGCATGGCCTAGAATTTGGGGTAGTGGGTCCTGATAGCAACTTCCCACAAGGAAGCACATGCCCTGGCAGAGTTTGATTTCCTACCTTTGGGAAGGGCCTGGGCGTTGCTAGTTGTAGGGATCCGCCTTAACAAAAGTGGCCCGTCCTCAAAAGACCATTCTGAGTGAGAATGACACAGACTCAGAATGCCTCCTCCCCCTCTGTCCACCTCTTTTAGAACTGCTCAGATTACCTGGGGAAATAGCTACCCGACCTTTTTATTTTTCTGGGGAGATATATCCCATTGCTTTTGGTCTTGGCCTACTCAGTTTTCCTAGTAGCAAGCTCAGTTTCCTTGGCCAAATCTCTTTCGTACCCTAAGGTTCATTTTATTCAAGGTTTTTTTAGCCTTAGCACTATTGGCTGGATAATTTGTGTGTGTGGAGGCTGACCTGTACAATGTCGGATGTTTAGCAGCATCTCTGACCTCTACTCACTGACCCCAGGAGTGACCTTCCCACCAGTTGTGATAACCAAAAAGAGGTCTCAGGCATTGCAAATTCACCCACACTTAGAACCACTGATTTATTCCCACCTGTAATAAATGCTACTCCAGACGATGTATGCATTTGAGCTCCTGTAGTCAAACCCTGAGCTTGTGGATTTTGGCCCAGGAGAGGGGAATCTAGCAGAACCCTCCACCAGTCCATTCTGACCCTGTGATATTAACATGACATTTTCTTGGTTCTTCGGGCCACTTTGGATCAATGCAGCTCCCATTGCTAATACTACTCTGAAAACAGGGAGGCTGGATGATACGGTCTGTGGTAGTTTGAGAGCACAGAACAACGGAATGAGTTCCTCTTTCAGATTGATACCCAGCACCTGAAATGGATGTCACAGAGTGTGTGCTTGGACGTGTGTGCTTCTCCCACCAGAGCGCCTCTCGGTGCCTTTTACCTCCTTTCTAGCAGATCATTCTGACGGACTTGGCAGAATGGGTTTCCAGCTGACAGTAAATCGAAGAGTAAAGCTACTGGAAACAGTGACTCCTGGCAGTTTTATTTATTTATTTATTTATTTATCTCATTTTTTAAATTAAGGTATAATATGTGTACATACCTTACCAATTCCCTCCCTCCACCCCCGTACATGCCCTCCCTCCCCAGAGTTTTGCATCCATTGGTTATGCTTATATGCATGTATACAAGTCCTTCGGTTGATCTCTTATCTCCCTCGTATCTTCCTCCCCTCCCCTCTGTAATTTGACTGTTTCTTTACTGTCTCAGTATCTATCTTTTTGTTCATCAGTTTATAATGTTCCTTATTATTCATAAATGAGTGAGATCATGTGATGTTTTTCTTTCATTGACTGGCTTATTTCACTCAGCATAATGTTCTCCAATTCCATCCAGGTCACTGCAAATGATAAGAATTCCTTTTTTTGTGACAGCATAGTATTCCATTGTGTAGATGTACCATAGTTTATTGATCCAATCATCTGCTGACGGGCAACCTAGGCTGTTCCAAATCCTAGCGATTTACTGTCAGCTGGAAACCCATTCTGCTATGAACACAGGGGTGTATATATCCTTTCTGATTGGTGTTTCTAGTTCCTTAGGATATATTCCTAGGAGTGGGATTACTGGGTCAAATGGGAGTTCCATTTTCAGTTTTTTGAGGAAACTCCATACTGTTCTCCACAGTGGCTGCAGCAGTCTGCATTCCCACCAGCAGTGCACGAGGGTTCCTTTTTCTCTGCAACCTCGCCAGCACTTGTCGTTTGCTGATTTGTTGATGATAGCCATTCTCACAGGTGTGAGCTGGTACCGCATTGTCGTTTTGATTTGCATCTCTGACTCCTGGCAGTTTTGAGAAATGACTGCTGGCTTTGGAAAGCAGGCCCAGACCCACATGAGCTCAGCGGTCAGAGGCTGGTTAGTTTGGAGCGCGTTACCCTGTGCTATAAAGAACCTGAACTTTAGAACCTGAGCACCCGGGGCCTGACTCTTTTCCCCACTTGAGAACTCTGAGACCTTGGGTGTGTATTAAGCCGCCTGAGGTCAGCTCCCATGTGGAAGAGATGTCGCACGGACTGTAAAAGATAACATCTGAAGTCCTTCACTCGGTGCCTGGCCTGGAGAAGACCCTCAGTCTTAAATACACGTTAGCAGCCTCTGGAGATCCCATTCTTATACCAAAGCCCAGTGAAAGGAGAATAAGGAGTCATCACAGTAAAGTTATGTTGGGCATACTGTTTAAATATTAATCACAGAAATTCTTGTGTAAGTTTTAGTAAATTTATAGAATTTTGTGCTCTGGTCTTTTCCCAAATTATCCTAGCTACTTGAAATCTTGGTACACACTGAGAGGCCAGACCAGTATTTTATAATTGGAGAGACTTCAGCATGGGAAGGATGTGTCTGAAATAGGCAACGCATTGCACATTCTCTATGTACTGATAGTTCCAAGTAACGTACATGCATTAATTCGCTTAATCCCGACGTTAACTCTGTGAGGTAAGTGCGGTTATTACCTGTTTTATAGATGAGAAAACTGAAGCACAGAGAGGCAAAATAGCATGCCCAAGGTCATACAGGGATTGGGAGAGCGAAGATCTAGACCCAGGCAGACCGGCTTCAGAGTCCAGGTTCTTAACCTCCACGCATTTGTCTGCTTCGCCCGAAGTGGAATGGCTTTCAGGTCATTTGTGCTGTGCAGTGATTCCATGGTGGGTCCGGCCCCGAAGGGAACTGAGGTCGCACAACCCAGCAAGATGACAGGTTTATTGGAGCTCACAAGAAACCGTGTGTGGAGTCTAGAGCTTCCTGGACTGTGACCACAGCTCTCCCGCCCCTTCCTTCCCCTCCCCTCCTCACCCCTCTCCCAACTCTTAGGCGCACCCTGGCTGACATCATCATGGAGAAGCTGACCGAGAAGCAGACGGAAGTCGAGACGGTCATGTCCGAGGTGACGGGATTCCCTGTGCCCCAACTGGACCCCCGGGTCCGAGAGGTCTACCGCGGAGTCCGGGAGGTGAGAGCTGGAGCCCTTCGCAGGGGCCCTGGCCCCCACCGGAGGCTTTGGGTGCCCACATCTCCTACACAGAAGCCTGGGGACCGAGAAAAGTCAGAGCGTGTGGGCTCAGAGTCCTGCTGTGCCAGTTAGTGACCTGGCGGCTGTGGGTAAGGCTCCGTTTCCCCATCTGGAAAGCGAGGATAGTGGTAGCATCTCCTTAAGTGGTGGTTGTGAGGATACAGTGAGTGAACATAGGAAAAGTACCTGGCACTCGCAAGCAGGATGTGTGCTAATGGCAACGATGGTGTTACTCCCTCCTCCCCAGGTGTTATCCAAGTACCGCAGTGGGAAGCTGCCCAAGGCGTTTAAGATCATCCCTGCGCTCTCCAACTGGGAGCAGATCCTCTATGTCACAGAGCCCGAGGCCTGGACTGCTGCTGCGATGTACCAAGCCACCAGGTAGAGCGGATGGGAGTTCCAGTGGCCTTGGGTCTATAGGTAAAGGGCTGGGGGCATAGGAAGTACAGGCTTTCCTGGTCTTTGCCATTATTTTTTTCCCCCCTCTTATATTTATTTTATGCATTTATTTTTATTGGTTTCAGAGAGGAAGGGAGAGGGAGAGAGAGAGAGAAACATCAATGATAAGAATCATTGATTTTTCTGCCTCCTGCACACCCCTTCCTGAGGATTGAGCCCCAACCCAGCCATGTGCCCTTGACCGGAATCGAACCCAGGATCCTTCAGTCTGTAGGCTGATGCTCTATCCACTGAGCCAAACTGGCTAAGTGCTGCCATTACATTTTTTCAAAAATATTTTTTATTGAGAAGAAGGGAGAGGGAGACAGAAAAACATTGGCTACCTCCCACAGGCCCTTCCCACACTGGGCATCAAGCCCACAACCAGGCATGCCCCCTGACTGGGAACAGAACCAGCAGCCCTTTGGTGCATGGGATGACGCCCAACCAACTGAACCACACCAGCCAGGCTGCCATTACATTTTAACTTGGTCCCAGAGCTCTCTCTTGTGTTTCTTTATATCATCATTTCCCCAGCTTTTCCTGTTTCGTGTTTTGGGCCAAGAACCTGTTGAAAATTGCCTGTGATGAGTTTTTAGGGAAGAGGCTTATAACTACGGGGTGTGTCAGACAGGCCTCAGAAGTCTGTGGCTCCCCACACGTGCTCAAGTCCCTCAAAGAGTAGGGTAGAGAAGGCCCATGATGGGAAGAGGAAGGTGAATAGCTGAGTCGCCATTGGTTTGGGAGCACTCTGGCTCTCTGGGTGTCCACCTGATTGGATGCCTCTTGTAGACGTCCTGTTCCCTCCTATCTGATTTGGGTATTGCCTGCACTCTGTTCACACACTCCCGCACACCCTTCAGTTCTTTTGCATGCACCATCCACAGTGATATTAAAAGGGCCGGCTCCAGGCTGTCAACTGACCTGGGATGTCTCTGCTCCCCCCCCCCAAAAAAAACTAGGATTTTCGCATCTAACCTGAAGGAACGCATGGCCCAGCGCTTCTACAACCTTGTCCTGCTCCCCCGGGTACGAGATGATATTGCCGAATACAAAAGACTCAATTTCCACCTCTACATGGCCCTCAAGAAGGCCCTTTTCAAGCCTGGGGCCTGGTTTAAAGGTGAGAACCCAGGAGGCGGGCAGGAAAGGGAGGGGCGGAGCTCCTGCGGTGTGATCGCGGTAAGCACGACTTGGGAGATGGCCGGCTCCTGCTTTGCATCCTTTCTCTCGCCCTCGGCTCTAAGTGATGCCCCTCTGACCCTCCCCAGGGATCCTCATCCCACTGTGTGAGTCGGGCACCTGCACCCTCCGGGAAGCCATCATCGTGGGAAGCATCATCACCAAATGCTCCATTCCCGTGCTGCACTCCAGGTAGTGTTTCCGCTCCAGGGGAGAGGATGGCTGCTCAGGGACTCACCAGGGCTTGGAAAGTCGATGGGGTACAGAGTGGGGAAGGAGCTAAGAATAATCCTGGTTTGTGGCTTAAGCCACTAGGTATATTATTACTCCACTGGATTGTAATTCCATAAGAACAGGGTTGAAGGAATGAATAGGGAACATGGGAAGGAAATAGGTTAAGGGTGGAGATGTTGAGATATTTGAACATATCCTAGTTGGATACTGAGTGAGGTAAGCACTCGAGGCAGGAGTGGGGATTTGGGTGAGTTAGCATCCCAATTAGAGATGATAACTGCAGTGCAGGAGGAGGCAGATCCAAGACTGCATAGGTGCCCTAGCCGGTTTTGCTCAGTGGTTAGAACGTTGGCCTGCGGACTGAAGGGTCCCAGCTTCAATTCGGGCCAAGGACACATGCCTGGGTTGTGGGATTGATCCCCAGCAGGGGGCATGCAGGAGGGCAGCTCATCAGTAATTCTCTCTAATCATTGATGTCTCTATCTCTATCCCTCTCCCTCTTTGAAATCAATAAAAATGTAAAAACAAATAAAATAAAATTACTTGAAAAAAAGATTGCACTGCATAGGTGAGAAGGCCTGAGATGGCCCTCTTAGGCGTACCACAGTGTAAGGGCCAGCAGAGGAGAAGAGGGGAAAGCACAGAGGGAGGGTAGGACCTCTCCCCCAACATCTCCCCACCACTAACCACCCATCTTCCCACCAGTGCGGCCATGTTGAAAATTGCCGAGATGGAATACAGCGGTGCCAACAGCATCTTCCTGCGGCTGCTGCTGGATAAGAAGTACGCGCTGCCCTACAGGGTGCTGGACGCTCTGGTCTTCCACTTCCTGGGGTTCCGGACGGAGAAGCGTGAACTGCCGGTGCTCTGGCACCAGTGCCTCCTGACTTTGGCCCAGCGCTACAAGGCAGACCTGGCCATGGAGCAGAAAGAGGCCCTCCTGGAACTGCTCCGGCTGCAGTCCCACCCCCAGCTGTCCCCCGAGATCAGGCGTGAGCTTCAGAGCGCAGTGCCCCGCGATGTGGAAGATGTTCCCATCGCCATGGACTGAGGAAACAGCCCCTCATCCTGGTCTAAGGGGGTGGGAGGACAGCAGGATCCCAGTTAAAGTGACATTGAGCCTTTACAACTGGGCAGTGAGAGTCCCTGGGCATCTGGGACTCCTCGGTACCCTACAGGGAGGACTGAGGGTCAGGCAGTTGTTCCTGCTCAGTTCTGGAACCTGTGTGAGATTCCACACCCCAGCATTCCCCTTGCCCTGCTGGCGTTTGGAGTACTTTCTCTCAGGCTATGTCAAGTCACTGGGATGTGGATGAAAAGGTGGGTATTTATTGAGCGTCTGTGTTTTATTGTGATCACTGGAGATCTGTTTTCCCTCTTTATCTAAAGGTAGGATTATTCTCCCCTGTTTCTGTATAAGAGTGGATTCTTACCCAGTATACTCAACACCCCCACCCTATCCTAACTACAAGCTAGGTTCTCCAGGCTATACCCAGAGTTACCCCTAGGGGGCTCATCGCTGCCTTTCCCCAATACAGGCTGCTTTGGGAGAATGCCAGGAACAGGAGGTTGTTCAAAAGATGGTCTATCTCAGCTGTGGGTGGAAGAGCTAGAGGAGAGCGGCCCGAGAGCCATGAGCTTGACATGCTTGCCCTTGAGGGAAGTGGAAATGCAAAGGCCAGACAGATGAGGGAATATTGGTTGTGCCGGGATGATTAGATCTGGATCACCACCAGACAAGTTCCCTTTCTGGCTAATGAGAGCATTAGACTGGAGGTTGGCAAACTAGGGTCAAATGCTCATTTTCTTATGGCCCATGCACTAAGAACGGTGTTTACATTTTTTAATGGGTGGGAAAATTTTTTTAAAGAGTATTTTGTGGTAGGTGAAAATCATGTGAAATTCTAATTCCAGTGTCCATAGTTTCATTGGAGCACAGCCACTCCCATCTATTTACATGTTTTCCGTGGCTGCTCTCATGCTGCAATGGCAGGGTACAATCCTGGAAGCCTTGTTTGCCTTTGAAAATGTGACTTTGTTCCAACCCAGTTAATATATTTGGAAACGATTTTATCATAAAACAAATATCACTTATTTATATGCAGTTTTGTCCTTGAGAAACACCACATAAAATCAGAAAACTGCACTGAGCTGAACCAAGCCAGATACACAAGTGTAAGCACCTCTGGCATGTGGGTTAGGAGTCACATCCACAACCTGCCTTCCACAAGCAAACTTCTTTTTGAAGGTAAAGGACTCTATTTGTTTCTCAACCATTTAGTATATAAAAACTATGCTGTCCTTTTTTTTAAAAAAAAATATTTTTTATTGGTTTCTGAGAGGAAGAGATAGAAACATCGATGATGAATCATTGATTGGCTGCCTCCTGCGTGCCCCAGGCTGGGATCAAAGCTGCAGCTCAGGCATGTGCCCTGACCTCATAGGTCCGCTCCCAACCACTGAGCCAAGGCAGCCAGGCTTTTCCAGAAAAGTCACTCAGCCCCGCTGTTTGTGATTGTGCATAGATCCATGAACTGTGTGAGTTGGATCAGGGTTGTGGGCTTGATCCCTAGTAGAGGGCAGCCATAGATTATCCTCCTATCATAGATGTTTGTATCTCTCCCTCTGAAAATGACTTACTAAAAAACATCGCTCAGTTTTTTCATGTTGTGCCCATACATACATCCTATGGATTTAACTAGGCAGTTTTGCAAAGCACAATGATTTTTAGGAACGATCATGTTCCATTATAAAGTAGCACTGACTGTGGGGCAGTTACTATCCCACAGGCCTAAAATATTTACTCTGACCGTTTACATTAAAGGCTTGATGGACCACTGATTGAACCACTGATTTCTGCCCTCTTTACCTCATGCTTTTACCCACACCTCCATCCAATCCAAGAAGCCAAGGCCAACTTTATCTTATAGCTTTATTAAGGTGGCATGGTCCTAGGCCAACAACTGGACCATGTGGCCTTAGGAAAGACCTGTTAACGGCTTGCGTCTCCAGTCAGGGGGCTTGGTCACCTCCAGGTCATCCCTGATGAAGGATGGGGCGGAGGGCCAAAGGGAGAGGAGGGCCTGGCCCCTCCCAGGCTGTAGCAGCTCCTCGGTCACAACGATCCTCTAGCTAGTAGCAGAGGAGGGATGCAGCAACCGCCAGGGTCACCACTTGGGTTGGTGGACCCCACCACACCCTCTTACAGTTGTATTCAACAAATAAATTAAAACCACCTCTTCCTTCAGCACTGACCCCCCTCAATCACACAGGAGAAGCTGGGCAGAAAGCAAAGCAAAGAGGAACTGGTTGGTTCTTGAACCTCTTGACAGAGGCCTGGGCCCCTCCCTCTAGGAGCAGCTGTGGGCACGGATTATGCAGGGCTCTCCAAAGGATGTTGAGAAGAACTGTTCAGGAGTGTGTCCCCTCAGAATATTAGAAATGGCTTCAGAAAGACCCCAATCCAAATGCAGTAACCCTAGAAGGTGCAGCACCTTTGTAAGGCACCAGGGCATTTTGGCAATTGAGAACGTGAGAGCCCCAGAGATGGGGCCTCAATAAGGAATGCTGGGACATGTACTTTATCTACTTCAATTTTGTCTGATCAGCTGACCCACCCCAGCCAGAGAAGGGCTGGTCAGAGGCAGGGGGGAGGAGCCAGGCTAGCCACCCAAACATGGCTGGCTGGGCCCCTTAGTGCACACTGCAGGGATAGGTAGGACCTGCCCACTTCTCTTTAACAAAGGGCAACTAGGAAGGAGACCCACCCCGACTTCAGTTGTGGCAGATGTGACGTCATTCCTGCAGGGAGGGAGGGTGGCAGTGTCCCCTCCTCTGCTGTCAGCGGCCACTGGAGGGGGCCGCTCCCCGGGCTACAGGTGGATGGCTGTGACATCTGTGGGAGTGCTGGTCTGGCTGGGCCCCTGGCTGCTGGAGCCTCGGGGGGCTTTGGGTGCTGGGCTGGGGGACGACTGGGCAGCTTCCCTGAGGCTCTCCCTGAGTGCAGCTTCAATCTGCTCCTGGCAGGCGCGCAGGCAGTCCTGGGAACGAAGGGGGGGCAGTGAGGAGGGGCTGCTGGGTGAGGTGGAAGGAGGTCCCATTGGAGCCAAAGGTCCACTTCCCTCCTCCCATAGCAGGTGCAGGGGACAGACACCGCCCAGCACACAGGGAAGTCTGGGGAGGTTAGGCCACAGCCCAGCCCCAGGAATCTGCCTTCAATTCTCAGAAACTGGCAAGAGGATGTGGCAACGGTGTGAGCGCAGCCCTGCATCCGACACAGCCTCCCACCCCCACTCCTGCACACCACTTGGCAGAAAAGGGCACCAAGGGATGGTGCCCTGCAACCCACCCAAGACAACTTGCTTTTCCCCAGGGCAAGGCAGGAGACGAAACCCCACAGAAGCCCCAAGGGCAGGGTATATGAAACCAGGAGTGGGCGGCAGGTTGGAGATGGACGCCTCCCTCTAGTGGAGGCTCAGGGAATAGCAGCGCTTCATGAATTGACAGGCTGCTGCTCAGCACTCACCACTTCAGTGCCTGTGATCCCTGCCAGCAGCTCCGTGAGCTCATCTGGGGATGCGGACCAGGCACCCAGGCCTTGCACTGCAGCCCCAATGCTGCCCGTGGCGATCATGGACGGTGGGTACATGGCAAAGGTGTAATCTTGGAAAGAGGGAGAGGGAACCATGAGGCAAGGGGAACATTGAGAATAACCACCAGGGGGACTCCTTATTCCTCAGAAAGTGCCCAGCAGCAGGAATGGAGCAGGGGCATAGTGGGAAATGCCAGCAGTGCGTTTGTGTCAGATGGGCAAGAGAGAAGGCAGGAAAGACCTGGAAGGCCAGGGTGAAGGGCAGACTTGTGCAGGCCAGGTCCAGGGTGATCCCTTTGGGACCCAGGCCAGGCACCAGGGAATGAATGAATCTCTCTCTCTGGTGTGGAAGCAAAAACCAGGGTCCAGACCTGCGTTCTGTCCCCAATTTAATCACCGTGAAACCTTGGGAAAGTCACTTCTAAGCCCTGAGGCCCCAACTACATTGGTACTGGGGTCTCTAAGATCCCACACAGCTCAGATTGTGCTCAGCATTTTTTCTGTACTGAAACGGGGGGCTCACAGGGAACATCATTTTCACAAATTTTATAAGGCGTATAGCAAGAATCTCCTATGACCCTTCCAAGTCTTGATTTTCCTGATTTGGCAAAAACACGCCTGGAGTTTATTACCTGTAGCGCAGAGGGCCAAAAAGGTCTGAGCGTGCTTTTTGACCAAGGCCTGCCGGTCACTGGGCAGAGAGAGCCGGTACAGGATCAGGGCCAGGAAGTCATGGGCGATCACAGCAGCCAGGTCCCACTTGAGCTTCCCCAGGACCAGCACCTCCCAGTCCTGGAGAGGGGAGAAGAAGGCGGGGCCGGTGACTACAGGAGGCAGGGGAAGGGAGTGAACGAGAAGGAAGCCCGCCGTCACACTTGAAGGTCGAGACCCCAGTTTTGCTTCTGGGCTTAGGGCCTGGCCTGGTGGAATGGAGAGGCCAGGGGGAGGGAAGAGCTGGGGACATGTGCTTTGAGCATTTGTCCATCTTTTACCAAATGCCAGACTGCATGCTGCACACAAATTGTCTTTTGATCTTGTTTGGTTATCTTTGGGGGCCAATAATTCAGGCCCTTTTCTGATCCAGGGCTCTGAGCACTTCTCCAACTCGGGCTGGATGAAAAGTCTGAAGCAACAGGTACCACCACCACCACCATCTCCATGAACGTGAGGCTCCGCTGGGGTAAAGCAGACTCTCCATAATCCCAAGGATTTGTAAAAGGGGAAATCACCACTAGCTTCTCCCCAACGCTGCATCCCAGCCAAGCCTGTGCCCCTTGTGAGTGAGCCCGAGGCCACACCACCTCTGATACAGTCACTGAACTGACGCTGAGGTTCCTCAAAGGGGACGTTGCCCAACCCAACCCACATCCCCTTGGTGGGACATCAGGGCTTGGTCCTGAGATATAACACCCACCCCACCCCCTTCCACTGGAACCCACAGCGCTGGGTGCCATGTGAGT